GAGCCACATTGCAAGGGTATCGTCTTCGCCTGCGGGCAGGAAGAACATAAGTGTCCACCTTGAGAATTGGGAGATCTTGGAGTTCCAGCTGTTCGAGAATGTCAGTGCCACATGTCTGGAAATTCTGTTGGACTATGGTATGGGGCAGAATAACAGTACCACTACAAGAATTGAGGGAAAGATGTTTTTCGATAGTGATAGGAATAGTATCGATATGTGAAAGAAGAGAAAGATCATGAGCTTGGGTAGAATTCTGGACTGTGATGATGCGCGTACCACTCTTAAGAGCATGAAAGGAAATATCTCTACCAATGTGGCGTAGGAGCGCTTTGCCAATACTTGCTATGATCGGAAAATAGGCAGTAGAAGAAGTCGGTCTTAATGTAAAGAATTTAGTCCATTGTGTGGTCCGAAACTGAGTGTGGAGAGGGAGTGCATGACGTGTTGGTCTTTTCCGAGTAGAATGGGAAGGTAATGAAGTAACATCATCAGAAGATTGTCGTTGACGTTTAGGTGTGGGACCAGAGTCGGTCAACATGGGACAGACTGGCGATTCGAAAATCGCTGCACCGTAGAGGGAGAAGCCGGAAGCATAGTCAAAGGAGAGCGGAAGTCAGACAAATCAAAGGAGTCAGTGGAAGCCCCGGTACCTGAAGCAGGAGAGGAAACAGCAACAGCACCGATGTCCTGCTACATAAAAAGAGGATGGGAGTTCACAGCTGTCAAAAGTTAAATGAGCCACATTGCAAGGTCGTCTTCGCCCACGGGCAGGAAGAACATAAGTGTCCACCTTGAGAATTGGGAGATCTTGGAGATCCAGCTGTTCGAGAATGTCAGTGCCACATGTCTGGAAATTCTGTTGGACTATGGTATGGGGCAGAATAACAGTACCACTACAAGAATTGAGGGAAAGATGTTTTTCGATAGTGATAGGAATAGTATCGATATGTGAAAGAAGAGAAAGATCATGAGCTTGGGTAGAATTCTGGACTGTGATGATGCACGTACCACTCTTAAGAGCATGAAAGGAAATATCTCTACCAACGTGGCGTAGGAGTGCTTTGCCAATACGTAATATGATCGGAAAGATAGGAAGTAGAAGAAGTCGGTCTTAATGTATAGAATTTAGTCCATTGTGTGGTTCGAAACTGAGTGTGGAGAGGGAGTGCATGACGTGTCGGTCTTTTCCGAGTAGAATGGGAAGGTAATGAAGTAACATCATCAGAAGATTGTCGTTGACATTTAGATGTGGGACCAGAGTCGGTCCGACGTGGGACGGACTGGCGATTCGAAAATCGCCGCACCGTAGATGGAGAAGCCGGAAGCATAGTCAAAGGAGAGCGGAGGTCAGACAAATCAAAGGAGTCGGTGGAAGCCCCGGTACCTGAAGCGGGTGAGGAAACAGCACCAGCAAGAGGTACAGGGGCCTTAGGAGTGTCCAAACATTGGCCAAAAGACGAGGCGAGGTCAGAACAGGGTGCGGTAACAATAAGGGGCCCGGGGGTAGCGGGGTCATGGATTTGGGACTCCATGGTTAGGTTACTTCTTTCTTTTTGTTTTAAGAAAAAAAAGAAAGAAAATAAAATAAAATAAAAAAAAATAAACAAAAAGGGGGGACCGGGGAGGGATAGTTCCTAGGAGGAATAAAAGGGCCAGACATCTCCCTCCGTGCCCAAGAGGACCTCAGCACTGCAAGTAGCGCAGATGCAGCATGGAACTCGTGCCATACCCTACCCTTCATGCCAGTAAACCAGCAATCCGGGATAGCAACCTCACATCTGCCGAGCTACCTCGGTGGACAAAAGAGAGGGCGGCCGGATATCCACCACAAAGCATACCTCCTTTGGCCATCACCCCCGAATCCGAAAGGTGGCTTCCAGAGATACACCCCTCGCCCGAAAGACACCCAAAGCCACCCTCTGGGATACCGGAGAGGGATCGGGACATCCCCAGGCGGTCCAGATCCCATGGCAAACTACGCCACAGCCAAGAACCTCAATGGAATGGGATGGACCCCGGTATCCTTCCCCCTACCTATGAACTAGTGTGCCTGTGGGAAAAATCCCAAAGGCCAAAAAGAGGAAGGGCAAAAGGGAGGGGTGGGGAGGAGGAGAAGAAAAGGAAAAAGAGGAGGATGCGGAGGATAGGATAGGGAAGGGGGGATTGGGGGGTAATTAGGTTCGGTCTGAGGAAGGAGACCGACAGGTCTATTTCCTCAGACCAAGAGCCTGTTCACCACGCCAAGAAGCCCCTCTTGAAGAGGCACGGAGTCAGTAGCTAGCTTGTGTCACCACTCACTCAGTCTTGGCTGGTGTCTCATGCCACCAACACCTATTGACCATATGGTACACGGTATATGTTACAGGGTACCATATGGTACATTGTACTATATGGTATAGGGTACCATGCAGTACAGGATAACATATGGTGCAGGGTACCATATACTACAGGGTACCATATGGCACAGGGTACCGTATGGCACAGGGTACCATACAGTACAGGACACCGTATGGTACAGATACAGGGATAACTATGGAAATAAGTCACCCTGACTTTTTTGGGGGTTATCCTAGGATTTTACACGTATGCTGCTATGTATGATAATCTAAGTAATTGTATTACTGTACACCTGAATAAACTTAAAGTGCATGTGGCATCATAAGTAAGTTTATTTAGTTATACACAAATAAAGTTACATAGAATATCATACTTAGCAGCATATGTTTGGAGAACCTAGAATAACCCAAAAAAGTCAGACAGACTTATTTCCATTAGGGTCCCTGTACCCTGTACCATATGGTATAATGTACCATATGGTACAATGTACTATATGGTACATTGTACCATATGATACCATTGTATGACTGGCACCATTGTACCATATGGTACCATTGTACCACATGGCACGATGGTACCATATGGTTCAAAACCATAGAATTTGTCTTCAGCTCCACTTCCATCAGTCTTAGAACTGTAAGTTGTGAAGAGGAGAGTGAGAGCTTCCTTGCCGCCAGGCACAATGAACAAAGCTACTTTGCTGGCGTTCCCACAATGCCATGCGGGTGTCCACATTTTTTCTATGGTGTGAACACTGACCACCCAGACCCATTCTCTCAGATGTAGGCCTACCAGCCTTCTCACGCTAAATTTGACGCTCCTAGAGTTTTGGCATAGATCTACGGTTTGGACCCTGAACATAAAGCCGTAGATCTATGGGACGGACCCTGAAAGGGTTAACAGTATTAGCCAGTACAGGTTTAGGTGAGAGAAGATGTATGTTGTGTCATCTGCAAAAAATATTGTTTTGAGTAGTTGTGATGCATTCTGTAGGTCATTGATGTAAATGAGAAAGAGGATAGGGCCAAGGACACTTTCTTGTGGGACCCCAACTGTAATTGGTTGTGTGGAAGAGTTAGCTCCATTTGTGTACACATATTGGCTTCTGTTACTAAGATATGACTTTAGGTAATTGAGGGAGTGCCCTCTTATACCATAGTGTGTTAACCCTTTGGACGTTTCGGACATACTAGTACGTCTTACGACTCAGAGTTTTTGACGTACTAGTATGCCTAAATTCTAGCGCCCTCAAATCTAGTGAGAGAAAGCTGGTAGGCCTACATATGTAAGAATGGGTCTACGTGGTCAGTGTGCACAGTATTAAAAAAAACCTGCAGCACACAGTGCGTAATGAGAAAAAAAAAACTTTGACTGTGTTTTTGGATTAAAACAGCGACTTTGCACTGTATTTTCGTATGGTATTTATTGTTGTATTCTAGTTTTCTTGGTCTCATTTTATAGAATGGAAGACATATTACAGAAATTGAGTTGATTTTGACTGGTTTTACAATGAAAAGTACCTTGAAATTGAGCTCAAAGTAGCAGAAATGTTCGATTTTTACCAAAGTTCAAAAGTAAACAAATCATGCCAAGCGTCCAATACACATCAACTGGTTAGTCTAATATTCTTTCACAAGTGAGCTGATATTATTTATACCATTTCTATACTAATGCAGTAGTCTGCATAACAGTAAATCTTATTTTTTTGTAAGAATAAAAATTCAAAGTGGAAAGCCAAAGAAATATAAGAGGGGGCCTGGGGATGTGACTAACGAACGGAGAACTTGTTATTTTAGTGCCAGGAATGTCTTTCTTGTTTATTCTGGACCCTATTTGGAAACTGGCATCTTTTGAAATTTGTGTGAAATTGGCAAAATTACTAAATTCTGGACCACTTTATTGGATAGTTGAAATCAGTAAATGGGTGGTTTTCTTGTACTCATTTGATAGAAAAAATGGAGTTCTAGTGAAATAGTTACGATTTTTGTCGATAGTACACTGGAATTGGCCGAAAACAGGGCTCAAAGTGGGCAAAATCGCCGAAAACGTAAACATCGTTGAGACCGCTAACTTCACGAGAGCATAATTCCGTAAGTTTTCCATCAAATTTCATACTTTTGGTGTCATTATGATCGGGAAAAGATTCTCTATCTTTTCACAAGAAATTTTTTTTTTTAATGTGTCGACTTTGAGAACAAGTCTGGGAGAGGGCCTGTCGACCCTGAAAGGGTTAAGAGGAAACTGGACAAATATCTTCACCAGGTGCCAGATCAACCAGGCTGTGATGGATATGTGGGGCAGCAGGCCTCCAGCAGCAACAGCTTGGTTGACCAGGCAAGCACCAGACAAGCCTGGCCCATGGCTGGGCTCAGAGAGTAGATTAACTTTCAAAACTTTTCAAAAGTATGTCAAAGGTAAGGTAGATTGAACATAATTAAAATACAAGTTTCATATATTGCCAGGTAGGTAGAGGCACCTCCACAATACTCACTGTGCTCTCTAAATATATATAATGATCCTTATAATATACCAAATTTAAAACCATACAGTGAGAGCATTTCTTTAAAAAGCCTTAATGAGCAATTTATTTTGGACCCATTTTTTGTAGTGTTTTAAGTGGTGTGTCAAATGAGAAATGTGTGTGTAATGTAAGAGTAACTCACCTTATTATATGCTGTTGCTAAGTTAAGAATCTCTTTAACAGTGTCTTCATTAAGGCTGCTATGTTCATTGTAATTCTGCAATGTTAAGCCTTCCATCCATGACTTCTTATGGAGATTTAAGAGCATCTGTTGTTCTCTGGTGAATAAGAAGAAATGTGTTACTGTTAGTCATGGTAATGCAACTTGACAAATGTATGTTAAAAAATGTATAGCAGGACCTCATGGTAGCTTCTGTAAATACAAGGTGCTATCAAAAGCTTCCTGCACTGTCACAAAAAAAAAATGTATTGGCTTAACTAATTTGCTACCCGAGGTTGTCTCCCAAGAAGTACTGTCCTTGAGAGGCAATACAATTATCCCAGCACCTCTGCCATTTCTTGAAACATTTCTGGAACTATTCTTTCCTAATGGTGTTTAGCAAAGCCTGCCTCATGTTCAAATTTTCAGTCTAAATGCTTTCACATGATTCGCAGGAAATTCCCACAGCACTTGCAGTGTCTTGGATATTCTGACAATGATCTTCGTGAATACCCTTCCTCACTTTTTCAATGCTGGTGTTGGATTTTGACACTGATAGACAACCAGTGTGTTTTCCATCCTCAACTGACAATTCTCCTGCTTTAAATCCAGAAAAAAATTCAAAACACTATCTGACTAATTGCTTTGTCACCAAATGCTTGCTGAAGTATTTCGAGTTTGACTAGCCATTTTATCAAGCTTGAAACAAAATCAATCAAACACAAACACACACACACACACACACACACACACACACACACACACAGTGAGAGTGAACATCTCTCCGTGGGTCCTAAGAGAGGGAGCAGAGGCACTCTGTGTACCACTAACAACAATTTTCAAACATATCCATTAAGCTTTTCAGGGTCTGTGCCATATATCTACGGCTTTATGCTGAGGGTTCAAATCGTAGATCTATGCCAAAATTCTAGCAGCGTCAAATTTAGCGCGAGAAGGCTAGTAGCCCTACATCTGAGAGAATGGGTCTGGGTGGTCAGTGTGAACACTATAGAAAAATCTGGACGCCCGCATGGCATTGGGGGAACGCCGCCAAAGTAGCTTTGTTTATCCTGCCTGGCAGCAAGGAAGCTTTCACTCCCCACTCACTCTCCACGTGAATTCTGACTCTCCTCGTGAATTCTGACTCTCCTCTTCACAACTTACAGTTCTAAGACTGATGGAAGTGGAGCTGAAGAGGAATTCTATGGTACATTGGTGCCATGTCATACAATGGTATCATATGGTACAATGTGCCATATGGTACACTGTACCATATAGTACAGGGTACAGGGACCCTAATGCAAATAAGTCTGTCTGACTTTTTTGGGTTATCCTAGGTTCTCCAAACATATGCTGCTAAGTATGATATTCTATGTAACTTTATTTGTGTATACCTAAATAAACTTACTTACGATGCCACATGCACTTGAGTAAGTTTATTCAGGTGTACACAAATACAATTACATGGATTATTATACATAGCAGCATATGTATAAAATCCTAGGATATCTCAAAAAAGTCAGGGTGACTTATTTCCATAGGGATCCTTGTATCTGTACTATATGGTATCCTGTACTGTATGGTACCCTGTGCCATATGGTACCCTGTGCCATATGGTACCCTGCACCATATGTTATCCTGTACTGCATGGTACCCTATACCATATAGTACAATGTACCATATGGAACCCTGTAACATATGATACCGTGTACCATATGGTCAATAGGTGTTGGTGGCATGAGACACCAGCCAAGACTGAGTGAGTGGCGACCCAAGCTAGCTACTGACTCAGCAGTTTCCAAGACAAAGCGCTCTGTCATCCACCTCAAGGAACACGTCAAGTTTCTGTACATTTGTAAATATACAATAGAACATTACTAATATACAACATTTTTGCATATTTTTGTTGTAAACAATTATTGTAAATTAAATAATGATGAAAATATAAGTGTGTTTATTGTGTTGAATATAACAGTACCATATAGTACCATATGGTACAATAAAATATATGGTATCATTGTACTGTATGGAACAATGTACCATATGGTACCATTGTATCATATGGTACCACTGTACCAAATGGTGCCATTGTACCATATTGTACCATATGGTACAATTGTACTATATGGTACCATTGCACCCTATGGCACCATTGTACCATATGGTACCGTTGTATTCAACACAATAACCACACTAATATTTTCATCATTTTGTTTACAATAAACTTGTAAACAAGTTTTGTAAGCAATATAATGATAAACAAATTAGTGCAGTTATTGTGTTGAATACAATGAGTGTACACTTACACAATATACATTATACTGGTCTCACAGGCCACAAATGTTACTAGAAAAAGAAAAAAAATTAGAAAAGAAAACAGTATAAAAAACGTAAAATAAAAAAATGCGATTTTGCGGAAGTCACTGATGTTGCCGCCACCCGGTCATTTTGGGTCAACTTCCCGCCGCTGTATCTCAGTAAGTACTCATCAGAAAAACTTTTTTTTGTTTTATTACCTTCACAAAAATATTATCTTTAATTCTGTAAGAAATTTTTTTTGTTTTTTTTTTTCAAAATTTCTTGGACACTGGGGCACCCCTTCAGATTTTGGCTTTGGACCCTGAAAGGGTTAAAGCAGGGTGACTACCTGAGGTACAGAAGACAGCAAATGTAGTCCCAATTTTTAAAAAAGAGGACACACACTCAGCATTAAACTACAGACCAGTGTCACAGACATGTATTGTATACAAAGTCATGGAGAAGATTATCAGAAGAGTGATGGACTACCTAGAAAGGAATGAGTTTATAAACAACAACTGGCATGGATTCAGAGATGGGAAATCCTATCTCACATACCTACTAGAATTCTATGACAAGGGGTGACAGCAGTAAGAAAAGAAGTGTGGGTATATTGCATTATGTGCAAGAAAGGTATAAAATACCGACAATATGAAAGTTAAGACACATGTGCAACATCTGGATACCTTTATTGTAGTAGACGTTTCGCCATCCAGTGGCTTTATCAATACAGATTCTAGGACATAATAGGAAGACAGTCTTCTTGTCTTTGCTCCAGATTCTCCTCCACCACGATGCTGTGAACACTAACTCCAAGGCCGAGGGACTGATTACCTCATCTTTTGTATATAGTTCTACTGTCTTCCTATTATGTCCTAGAATCTGTATTGATAAAGCCACTGGATGGCGAAACGTCTACTACAATAAAGGTATCCAGATGTTGCACATGTGTCTTAACTTTCATATTGTCGGTATTTTATACCTTTCTTGCACAACTTGTCAGACACTGCAACATCATGGAATCTTGGTTCAGAGGACATCTACAAGACCTTCACGGCTGCTGCAACTAACCCATCTCTTTGGGAAGGACCTACTTCCACTGGGGAATCCCGCCTACCAGTGACTTTGCCCTCGTCTGCTGCCCGTCCCTATCCACTGACGCCTATATAAACCGCCAGTCTTCTTGTCTTTGCTCCAGATTCTCCTCCACCACGATGCTGTGAACACTAACTCCAAGGCCGAGGGACTGATTACCTCATCTTTTGTATATAGTTCTACTGTCTTCCTATTATGTCCTAGAATCTGTATTGATAAAGCCACTGGATGGCAAAACATCTACTACAATAAAGGTATCCAGATGTTGCACATGTGTCTTAACTTTCATATTGCATTATCTTGGACTGTAAGGTTTTTGACACAGTTCCACACAAGACACCAGTACAAAAGCTGAAGGATCAGGTAGGTATAACAGGGAAGGCACTGCAATGGATCAGAGAATACCTGCTGGAAAGGCAGCAGTGAGTCATAATACATGAAGAGGTGCAAGAGTGGGTGCATGTGATGAGCAGGGTTCCACAAGGGTCAGTCCTAGGACTGGTGCTGTTATTGGTATATGTGAATGACATGACAGAAGGAAAAGGCTTAGAAGTGTCCCTGTTTGCAGATAAGGTAAACTTAATGAGGAGAATTCAGTCAGAAGAGGGATCTGGACAAGCTGCAAGCCTGGACCAGCAGCTGTCTCCTGGAGTTCAACCCCACTAAGTGCAAAGTAATAAAGATCAGGGTAAGGCCAAGACTGCAGACAGAGTACAATCTAGGGGGCCAACAACTACAAACATCACTGGAGAAAAAGGATCTTGGAGTGTGTATAATATCGAGAACATCTCCTGAGAAGGTCAAAGAGACCGCAGACAGAGTATAGGATAAGAGGCCAAAGACCACAAACCTCACTCAAGGAGAAAGATTACCAGAAGCACACATTAACCAGATAACTGCTGCGGCATATGGGCACCTGGCAAACCTGAGAATAGCGTTCCAGTACCTGAGTAAGGAATCATTCTAGACTTTATACACTGTGTACATCAGGCCCATCCTGGAGTATGCAGCACCAGTTTGGAACCCACACCTGGTCAAACACATCAAGAAATTAGAGAAAGTGCAAAGGTTTGCAACAAGGCTGGTTTCAGAGCTAAGGGGAATGTCCTATGAAGAAAGGTTAAGAGAAATCGGTCTGACAACACTGGAGGACAGGAGGGTCAGGGAAGACATAACGACATACAAAATACTGCGTGGAATAGACAAGGTAAACAGAGTCAGGATGTTCCAGAGATGGGACACAGAAACAAGGGGTCACAATTGGAAGCTGAAGACTCACATAAATCAAAGGAATGTTAGGAAGTATTTCTTCAGCCACAGAGTTGTTAGGAAGTGGAAAAAACTGGCAAGCAATGTAGTGGATGCAGGAACTATACATAGTTTTAAGACAAGGTATGATAAAGCTCATGGAGCAAGGAGAGGGAGGACCCAGTAGTGGTCAGTGAAGAGGTGGGGCCAGGAGCTGAGTCTCAACCCCTACAACCACTGTGGAGAAATTTTCTCCAGGAGGGGGGATCAGCCCCCTTCAGCCCTGAGGGGCCACTCAGAAGGGGCGAGCGTCTTGTTTACTGCTAGAGTGAGTAATTGATCACAGATGCTATGCCACGTAGTCAAATGACCTCTGCTCCTTGCAGCGGTGTTGCAACGTGTATTTTTATAAGAGACAGTACATCTCTTACTTAGCAGGACAATTAAGGAAAATCCTGCTCCCACTTTATTACCATAGTAAAGATAGTGTACATTGTTGTTTATGATTAAGACAGCAAGAAACAAACATTCTGCTTTGCTTCCTCGAGGAGGTGACAAGGATGCAAGGTACTAGGTCAGCGTTTTTTTTTTTTTGTGCTGGGGGCAGAGACGGCATGGAGAGCTGTGGCGTCTGGCAGACTATCTTTGACTCTACTAAGAGTGACACTGACGCCAGGATAACCAACAAAGAACACTGATCCGTGCGTTAGTGTGGACAAAGTGTCTCACAAAACACGATAAACATAAGAGAGGTGTGATCAGCTTCTCTCGTGTTACATGTGAACAATAAAGACAAATCTTGTGGAACATAGTGTTACCAGTGTGCGTTTCCTAGCAATGGAAGACGTGGACATCCAAAGGACACTTCAGCTTCTATCGAGTCACCGATATCTGTCGAAGGTGTTGAGAACACCATAGCTCACGTTACAAAGAGCAAGGTATGTTAACGAATTTCTTGTATGATCGGGGGATTGCGCAATTCTTGAGTCACAAGGAGTTTGTAATCAACCTATAATCGGCAGTAAGGTGTGGACTTTTGAGTCCAAACAAGTAAGTATTTCGTCAGCCATCATCGAATGAAATATGCTGACATAACACCCCCTAGGGGTAATTTATACTTACAAATTGTATCTCTTGACAGCCCACTGTTGTGATGGTTTCGACAGCTTCTAGACCTCGTCTGCAGGGGCGGCTGTGTAGACGATTTGCTGTCATTTATCAGCTAAGTGTTCATTATATATAGTTATAATAAACACGGCAGGTAAGGCCAAAAATCTCAACAACCACAATTAGATGAGTACATCAACCAAATAACTGCTGCAGCATATAGGCAACTAACAAACCTAATACAGCCTCTCCTCACTTACCAATGGAGTTCCGTCCCTAACACCACATCGGTAAACGAATTCGTCGCTAATTGAGGAACCACCCCTTACTGATACTTCAAAAATGTCACCACCCAAAATTAAAATATTCAGTTTTATGTTTGCTGTGAAAATCCTTTCAATCCATTTATTATTAATGGTAATACAACATGAAATAGGTCAATAACTTACTTCCGAGACATTCCAGAAAACGCGTGCATAGCTGATTACTTGGGTAATTTTTTTTTTGAGAAACTTGCACTTTTTTCAGTCTTTGCATACTAAATCCCTGTCAGTTTGGATTCAGGAATAATAAAAGCACAAATGATGCTATTATACACATGCTGGAGCTAATATATAATGCTCTCAAGAAGAAAGAAGCCCCACTGGGAATTTTCATTGACTTACGTAAAACTTTTGATACAGTCGACCACGAACTTCCGCACACTAAATTAACATACTATGGTATAAAAGGCCATTCCCTTAACTACCTAAAGTCATACCTTAGTAACAGAAGCCAAAATGTGTATGCAAATGGTGCGAACTCTTCCACACAACCAATCACAGTAGGAGTCCAACAGGGAAGTATCCTAGGACCACTCCTCTTTCTCATGTACATCAATGACCTATCAAATGCATCACAGCTACTCAAACCCATATTATTTGCAAATGACACTACATACGTCTTCTCACACCCAAACCCAGCCATACTCGCCAACACTGTCAATGCTGAATTGCAGAAAA